CTCAATTAAAAATCAATTGAAAATTAATTGAAAATTAATTAAAAATGAATTAACAATTAATTAAAATTTAATTAAAAATTTCAATTAATTAAAAATTTGATTCTCGTAAAAGGTTTTTTCAAAATGAGATCAAATAGACCGGATCCGAACCTTATAATTTTTTCTTCCATTAACCCCGTTCAAATGAAAAACAATTGCATCAAATCCGAATCGGATCAAATTGGGTTTAGGCAACCTGACCTCAGACTGAGATCATGTCTACCTGATCAGAACTACATCTGAACTCGCTGTTAGTTTTTGGGATCCGATCGACTGGATCAAACCTTAGTCAGCTTCTCATCAGGCGTCACCTGATCATCCCTACTTGACCAGGACTTGATCTGAACTCGCCGTTAGTTTTCGGGATCCGATTGACTGGATCAAAACTTGGTCAGGGTCTCATCAGGCATCATCTGATCACGCCTATCTGACCAGAACTTGATCTTAACTCGCCGATAGTTTTTGTCATCCGATCCACTAAATCAAAACTTGGTCAAGTTCTCATCAGAAATCACCTGATCAGTCAAATCTTATGAAAACTGGATCAAGTTCTGATCATACTTCAGGCGGACCTGAAGCAATTTCCACTCGGGTTATTCAAGGTTATATGGGCGTTTTGATATAATCATTTTTAACAATTTTATTATAGAAAAAACATGATTTTACTTCTTATTCGGATAACATTTGGAATTCTGGGATTTCGATGACCTGATTCAATTGGATCATTAATTATTTGATGCAAAATTGTTCAAATCAGTCAGAGACACCAAACGAAATCCGTAAATCAATTGTCTTCTGCATAGACATAAAGTTATGTTTAAGAGTGAACTTCGTTGTACTTAATTTTTGATAATTAAAATTGCTGAAAACCGTATAATAGCCTTGAGAAGGGGAGACCGATTTGTTAATTGCACCGACGGTTGGAATAATAATTATTTAATAAAGTTATGCCATTTCATGTGTGTCCGATAGCTGGTAACTTAAATGTTCGAAAACCAGTGCATTGACGGTAGTGATGCCGCGAGAGACTTACGAGACAATACTTTGGAGAGATGGTCTCGGTTTCAATGAACATGGAAATCTATAATCTCAAGTTTTTCGTATTTTCAATGGAAATCTCGGTTTTTGTCTCGCTTTGTCTCGTCTCGATTTTCTAAATGTCAAAAACGCGAAAAACTGGAAATCGAGGTGAGATAAATTGATTCGGAGTCATTACGACAGTAACCGATACTGCGTATTTCGAGACTGAGACGAGACCAAAAATTTCCGCCTTCACTGAGCCCGAGACAATCCCTCCAAAGTATTATCTCGTGATGTCTCGTAAAGTCTCTGGCGGCATCACTGTTTGACGGTAATCCAATAAAAGAAGAACACAATTTCAGCAAATATCCCTATTTTTGAGAGTGTAGATGACAACTGGATTATCATCTGACAGAGTGCTATTCAAACCTTCCCCGCTTTAGATTCTATCACATATGTCATAGTGGGTAGACAGTATCTTTGTTACCTCTCGAGACCCAAATAAGGTTCGGAACATATTGCCCCCAGAAAGTCACGTGTAGTGCTGAATTTGAGGTCTTGCTGAAGTAGTCGGGACTGGCCCTGATCAGCCAGATAGATTTTTCTGCTCGGATAGCATTCGGAAACCTATTGCATTCAATTCCTGGGGGAATTTGCGATATTTTCGTTTTTGACATTTTTCAGCTTCTAGCCTTTTCAAAGTAATACAGATGTTATCTCGAGATGCAATCAACTATCAAGCAACTGAGAATCCCTGAATAAGAGAACTGCAAAGGAATAGAGATGTTCATTGCAGACAAGCTAAATCTCCCCGGGAATCAGAGCCCAAGCAATTCACTCTGAGTGATTTAAGGCCGTCTGAGTAAACTAGGTGGAAGGATATTCCTATCGAACGCTTGTATTTGTATTGCGTTTCGGGGAAAGGTCAAAATACCCAACCTATCGGAATTCATTCGATTATTTACATAGGATTCAAATTCAAATTCCATAAAACTTTTTCCAAGAAGAAAATACTACCGTCGAATAAATTTGGTCGAGCATATCTTCAAATATGTCTTATTTGGTGTTGATGAATATGGGAGGCCACATTTGTCCATCAAATTATTCAATGTTGCAGTTCTGAACTTTCAAGTCGAGTAATTGATTGGAAGAAGTTGAAAATATCAGTGAATTACGGCATGGGAGTTTTACAATCTTCACTTGACAATATAAAATAATTGAGGATAATTCATCTTTTAAAGTGAGATATATTTATGTTGTCCCTTGCCTTTCATTTTTCGATTCTTTATTCTTACTACTTTGTAACTCTTTTATTGTTCCATGTCAAACATTTATAGTTTATAAATTTATAATTAACTTTGCCGTTATGTCTAACCAAAAAACATAAGCACTTGCTCAATTGAAAAAATATTAATTCCATTCATTAGTAATGAATTACATATTCTCCATTCCCTCCCTTGTATTATTTTGAATACTATTTGAATTCGCCTGAAGGAGTTCATCATAATGAGATTATCTAAAAATAGGAGCTTCCTCCTTGATAATGGAGAATTCTAATTAGAATCACTCCAATTGCTCTGAGCAGTCCACCGACATTGCCATCAATGAAACCCAAGAAGAACCTGATTATCCTGCGTCAATATTTCACCCTCCGAGTCTCATCTAAAATTCACCCCTCCCCTCCTTCAAATATATTTTTAATCCTCAATAGGTACTCGAGTGTCCCCCGACGAAGACCTGAGGGTTGGGGGTAATGAAAGGGGTGATAATTCCGGGAAAACAAAAACGAATTTTCGAGTCGTTTCATCGAATAATATATGGTAATTGTTTTCCGAATGGATCAATACACAGTACACATACGCCCAGCGTATTTCAAATAGGAATTCAAAACCTGACACTGGTAGAAAAAGAATATTCTCAAAAAATGGGAGCCAAACATTTGGAAAATGCCGTGAAATGAAAAATTTTTGCTGCAAAAATAGATTTGATTGCTGCAAAATAAAATTGACATTCTGTACAAGCAGGACACCTCGTTTTCAGCACTCGCTAACCTAGTTTGGTCTTAAAAAAAATATTTGTTTGATGCAAAGGAAGAATCAAATAGCTATTAGCACCAAATGGCTATATTTTGGTTCGAAAAATTTGTATGAATAATTCAACGAGATTGTTATTTGTTTGTCGTTTCGACTATTCAATAATCAATACTCAAATGATGATGTGATAGTCCCCCTGCAATGTCGAACAAAATTTTTCTCATTTAGCTTCGTTTATGGGATAAAGGAAGGTAGGGCAAAACAGACCACTGACAGAAAATTGATAATTTTTTTTCTTGCTTCCGAATGGAAGTAACAATAAAAATTCAAAATCATTTGTGGTTTGAGGTGATTAGCAGATCTGATCAAGCTGCGATTCAACGACACTTGTTATCTATAAAACCCCTGTGACGGTTACGATCCAAGAAACTCACTTTTAATTCAACGCATTCAGTGTTCCTGATTTAAAGGAAAGAAAAAAAAACAAAAATCGTCAATTTTCTGTCAGTGGTCCGTTTTGCCCTAGGCATCCGTTTGGCTCTGCCCTCCCCTACATTATTGAGAAGTTTCCCGTGGCTGCGTGAATGAACAGACTTTTAACCCAAATGGTTTATTGTTGGAAACAGCCAAAATATCTATACTGTTAGAATTTTTTTGAAATTTAAGTAACAGATGCATTTGAATTTTGAATATTCGGAACTTGAATACAATTTCAGACTAAATTGCTCATGGAATTCCTGAGTCATCTTGGAAATTCAATAAAATTAAGTTTTTCGTGATGAACGATCATTGAATTTTCAATGACAATTTTGATTTTCACAACTATCGCGAAAATTAAGCATTACATTCAATTGAATTTTCAAGAGATTGAAAATTCAGAAGAAAAGTTGCCTGAAATTTCACGATTTTCAGTAATTTTCATTGTCGTAAGAACCTGAGAAATAAAAATTCATTGGATATTCAAGAAAATTGACTGATTTATCAATGTCAATTTATCTCATCAATTTTCAACTAAAAGAACTAAATTTTCCAGACAATTCCTCGAAATCTGATGACGAACAGAGTACCGCGAACCGAGACATAAGAATATTTAACTTCTAAACTTGACTCGACAAATTAACTCCTAGTAAATTTTCTTCACACCGAAAACTCAACTCTGATCTTGATTTTGACTTCTCCCTCGACGCTTGTCGACCAACTTGACGAAATGGAGCGACTTGACTTGACTCGACTAACATAACCATCATAACTGTTACGTTTCTCACCTTAGTCTTCGCTGATTAGGGGGGAAGCGTCGCCCGATTTTTTCCGAACCTTCGTTCGAGAAATTCGCAGAATGTTGATCTTCGGTTCCTGATTTTAATGGGGAGGGGGGAAAGTCCTCATAATCAGAACCCTCAGGCTGGTCTGCGGGTTGTCGGTCGGTCATCCTGATCTTCATCGTCTCGACCCTGAGCTTCGTCTTCAGGGTGTCCGAGAGCAGGGTTTCCTCATAAAATAGTAATATGAATAGCGAGTCTCAGATCGCAGGAGTGGCCCCTAATTTTTCGACCCTTAAGGACGGTTTAAGGAGTTTTCGATGGACGAAATTTTTAATATTTGACGACTAGATCGTCATAAAGTATTTTTTTAGTTCAAACAACTCTTACTCGTTGAAATTTTTCTTGCATGAGTATAGTAAAGTTAATGTATTCTTCAATTTCTTAAAATCAATTGTTTGGGGAAAAAAGTTTTTTCGTGAGGGAAAACCCATCTGTCGTAATGTAAGTTTCTGTTATCCCTAGGAAAAAACTTCTGAAGTTCTTTTTAGGGTGAAAAGAAGAACAGAAAATAACGTTTTCGGGGGGAAATAGAAAGTATTTCATTTGTAATTGTAATGGTGACTCTCAAGTCTCATTTATATTCCGATGAAAGAAAGTGAAATAGTGTATTCATCTACATATACAGGCGAAATAGTCAGCTTCATAGTCGCCTAAATCCCATTTAGAGCTGCGGGCACCCCCGATTTTCAGAAGTGTATCAACCACTCGCGGTCTAGTGCGTTATTCTTTTTTTTAAACAATGAAATATGATGACGGAATATGAAGTAAATAATTTTGAATCAATTTTAGGCATTGCAACCCCTCTAAGTATGATCTAATGGAGTGGGGTACCGTAATGCATAAGCTGGAGCTGATCGTGTATGAACATCGGAGTCGCCGAGTTTCGTGGAATTTATGTTTTTTGGGTGACTGATGAAGAATTTGTCAGTTATTTAAGAAAAATCCAGCGTTCCATTTATTGTCAACAATTTGATTGTTTAAATTGTTATGACAAAAATCATACCCTATCGAATTCTCCATAATTCATCATTTGAAATTTTCCGTCTAACCCTCATAGTTAAGGTGGTACGGTGCTTTAAACAATTAGATTGTTAATAATAAACAGAACGTAGGCTTTTCTAAATAACCGACAAACTCGGAATTAGCGACCGCAAAAACATAAATTCCATGAGACTCGGGAAAGATACAAGATCAAGATCATATTTAGAGGGGTCGCAATGCCTAAAATTAATTGGAAATTGTTTACTTGACGTTCCGTGATGACATTTTATTGTTGAAAAAAAGAATTACGCATTAAAACGCGGGGGTGTCCCACAGCTCTATTTAGGAGTTTCAATTCATATGCTCAAATATTCCGTAGTTATAATAATGTGTCATATCCAGAACGACATATGATGCACACATGTGCATACAAATAATGCTCGAGTAACTTTATTATAAGACCATTAAAACCTAATTCATAATGAAACTTATTCTCATACTGAGAAATTGGCGCAGAGTATCCTGTTATTACAATTGAATTAAGGCGCAGTGATTTGGTGCAGTGATTACAAATTCCACTATTTACTCATTTCTTATTTCCTTTGATTTCCGTATGCAGTTAATAAGGCTATTAACAGGATATAATGTTATCTGTAAAACAAAATAAGACAAAATAAGACATTTTTTTGCATTTCTACATCTCAGTGAATGACAATTATTATTACATAATAATAATCGCATACAATTTTTAGCCTCCAGTTTTTGATTTTTGTGCTTTATTCTATTTATTGTATCGAAAGACAAGGATAGGAATCGAATTTATGGGTATTCTTTCATTATTCGAAAAAATATATCCATTTTAAAACTTTCCGAAGACATTGAAAAATTAAATGTTCTATTTCTTTCCACCCACGTCATTTTGCATTTTTTCATTTCTCCTCGTTAAAATGAGATCATAAAACTTGAAAATATTCTCATTCTGTCCCTATTTGAAGAAAAAATCGTAATTTCAAGTTTCCATCGACGCAAATGGAAGAACACAGATTCTTACACTTTCTAGCCGATTATTCCTTTTTAAAAATTTTTGACATGTGACCATTGTTGAAATGATCGTGTGTAGAATTCACATGTAACCTTATATTCACAACATGATAACTTATGAAGTGCTAATCATTAAAGATTTACGAGGATGTAGCAGGCATTAAATACCAAAACGGGTCTCCTCTATATACACGGAAAAAATTATTTGGTGAATTTCACCAAATAGTTGATCAAATTTAACAGCTAATTAATCAAAATTCAGAAATGATTTTTTAATTTCATTCAATCAATTTTGACTACCGAATTAGATGGTGAAGGCATATATACATTTGGAAACAATTCCGCAGTAATTTATATCGTGACAATTGATTAATGTCTCCCGTAGAAGATATTTTCGTAATAATCTACAATTCCTTGTTAAATTTGATCCATCAAATAAATCGACGAACGTTTATTGAAAATTTCACAAATGGTTGTCGAATGAAATTGACAATTCTTTTTCTGAAAATTAACTAAATAGTTGTTAAATTCCACCAACTAGTTGGTCAAATTCCCCAAATAACTTTCTCCGTATAATAAGAAAAACAAATCATGTCATTGAATTTAATTTTCTTAGTTTACCCCACTTAGTGACATTCCACCAGTAAAAACAGAAGCTCATTTATGAATAATCCTCACCCCCAGAATCCCAATTAACATTTAATCACCGACAATTCTCGAAAGTGATATCCAGCATCAGATAGAACCTTCCATTGGCTCCAAAGCCCTTTACTCCATCATTCTCATTATTGCAGGTTCAATGCTGCGGCTGATCGAATAGGAACGTATCTACTTGACCACAGGGACGCAGCCCGTAGGCGATATAACAGTCACCCTCACTTCTCCACGCTCCCCTCACCGGGCCACCAGTTTCATTATCGACTTTCGAAAGCGGATTGCGTCGGGGTGATAGCCCCTCCCCCCACTAGTACGTGGTGGCACGAATCCACCGGTGTAGCAGGTTGAGTGTAACATTGGTCCGATATCACTGGCCTAAAGGTTCGCCGCCTAAAAATAGTGGAAAATTGCCCGGTAACTTCAGAGGAAGAACTTTTTTTTAGGATTCATTCATTTTCTTGTTGGACGGGTTAGTCTACAGTTCATTACAAGAGAGTCAATTTCCCACTTGGGAAATATAAGTGTGAAGGGTCTTTTATGCTGACAGGGTTTAAATTAATCAGTGGTCAGAGGAAAATTTACAAAGGGTACCTGCACTGTTAGAAATTTCTTGAAATATCAAGCACAGCGTCAGCTAAATTTTCGATGTTGCGAGGTTGAATTGAATTTCACATGAAAGCGTTTATTAAATTCCTCATTCATCTTGAAAATTCAAAAAAATTGGTTTTTTCCTGTTGAACAATCATTAATTTTTCAATGAAAGCTTGAATTTTTAAACTCACTGTGAAAATTGAACATCACCTGCAATTTAATTTTGAATAGATTGAGAATTCGGAAAAGTTATTGTCTGAATTTAAAAAAAAATTCAGTGCCATGTGAACCTGAAAATCGAGAATTATTTGAATACTCACGAAATTAACTGATTCATCAATGAAGGAATATACAGAAATTTCATGTAACTTTGTCGTTGTTTAAAAATTTCAATTTTTTTCACTTGAAATTTCAAGAGTAATTTCCTAACAGTGTGAGTAGAAAATTATCCATAAAGTTGATGAGGTCGTGGCTGCCTCAATAGGACTTTAAATTTGGCATCGCGAGTTATCTCGTAAGGGCCATATATTCTGAATTCTCTTTGGGTCTGGCAAGTCAAGAAAATAAGTATCTATCTGAAACGACATATATGATGGAATATCAAGCGGGAAAATTTTGAATACCTCTACGATCAGATGATAATCCAGTCGGTATCTATGAGAAAGTCTTTGAGAATTCGTTGACAGCACTGAGAAAAACAATGTTTTTTGGAAGTACGTCTTTACTCATATCAAGAAACTCGTGACTTGAAAGAACAACTTTCGTCAAGAAATTTTGTACTTGTCCTAAAAACGAGGACAATTTCTTGACGACAAGAAAGCGATTTCTCATACCAAAAAAAATTTAATTATTGTAATTCATTTAATAATTTTCTTAGCTTTAATTTTTAAATATTTTAATGCAAAAACCACTTGAATTGATTTGAGAATTCGTTTTCTTGATATGAACCAATTTCCCTCATCTTTCGGACAAGTGCATCAAGGGCGGAAAGTCCAGACTTTCCGCCCGAAGTGCACATGCGATTTTTTAACACGCCTGCAAAGGAAAGTTCGTATTTTGCTCTTTGATGAGCGGGAGGAAAGTGAGTACTTTCTGCCCTAGGGTGCAAAATTGCTCCTAAGGGCGGAAAGTCTTGATGAGGGAGTAACCTTTCACCCTAGGGCGTAAAGTGCTCACTTTCCTCCCGCTCATCAGGGAGGAAGGTATGAACTTTCCGTGCAGGGATGTAAAAATAAAAATTTTTGGCGTAAAATTTTTTTTCTTAATGTGAGATATTGTGTGCTCGGTAATTTTCAAGCCATGAATTTCTTGATAAAAGTAAATGTGTACTTCTCAAAAAACTTTTGTCTTCTCAGTGTGGATTTTCATAAATTGGATTGAAAATAAACATCCGCTTAACCCTCTTATGGTTATTTCGTTCTCCCCACTTTACGGCAGCGACTGGACGACGCGTGCTGGGGCGCGCGCGCAAGTCTTGAATCTCCGAGTGTTCAGGGCCGTAGCTTGAATGGTGTTACTCGATAGTGAAGCAAAAATGAAAATTATTAACATTATTTTTTTCCAACTTTTCATTTTCTTTACGCACAGAAAACGGAAAAATTAAATTAACATGATTATAATGGCGCAGAACGAGAAGTTTTCGAGATGGAAGATAAATGAAAAATATTTTTTTTCTGCATTAATGATTTTAATCTCTTGTAAACTTACTACTGATAAATTTTTTAGGGTATGAAATTTTAGAAAACAGTTTACACTACACAATGGCACCTGACACTGCAAACATTTGAAACTCGTTTGGATCGGGCGTTTCGACGGAGTCCTTTTTTTCAACCAAGCAAATGACACACGATTGCACTCGGCCTGTTATTTTCCACATCGAATGATTCACAATCGCTTGGTCAACACTAAGCATATCTTCTCTTGGACTCATACTGGTTGAAGGCCGAGATTGTTCCTCTCGACCGGCACTAGCGCTAGTTGAAGACGGAGATTGTTCCTCTGGACCGGCACTGGCGCTAGTTGAAAGCAAGAATTCCTTCTCTTGTCTGACACTTGTTCCCATTTGATAACGACCAGCAGACATTTGACGATCTTGACTAGAAGTAATTAAAGAACGAATCGATAAACCAGCATGCCTCATGCGATAGCGACGACTCGAAAAATTTCCAATCAATTGCTTAGCTAAATTTGTTTGAAATTTCAAGTGAGTAGTTTTGTGCCCACTCTTCTTGTAAAGAAGATAACTATTTACCACACACACGTCAAGCATGAAATGGAAATCACACACGATACCACCACCATCTGTTACTAGGACGACCGACTTTATAATAAGAGCGGTGCTGATCAGCTAAATCAACTCCTCCCATGCACTCGTTATATTTTCTCACAGCCTCAGGACGGGTAATTGTAATGTTTTTCTTGAGTTTTGCATCCCAATCCTCTGCTGAAGAAGTCACACTTGGATCACAGTTTGTAGAAAATATATACACTTCTTTGCTGTCTTGCCAAACTGTAGCACTCACCTGCCCGAGTGGAAATTCCGATCAGGTCTTGATCAAGTTTGGATCAGGTTAGACCTGACCACTGATCAAGTATTGATCAAGTTGACGGATCCGGTTTTGAATAGACATGTTACGCCCCTGACCAATCCGGATTTGATCAGGACGAATGGATCCGAACTTGATCAAGTCAACTGTATGAAAACCGGATGACCTGTCTGTGTCAATAACAATTATCAATGATAACTAATCCAAAACAAAAGATAATTCAATTCTTTCACCGTAAGCCGCCTCTCTTAATGAATCTTTACTGTTATTACCTCTGAAAAAGCTTATTATTTTTTTACCGATGCTGGGGATCGAACCGAGGACCCTATGATTGCTAATCCTATGCCCTACCCACTACGCTATCACGCTATTACTATTGAGTAAGCTGTACATTGCCTATATGATTTGTATCGGGGTATTCGTTGAATTTACGATTATTCCTGATCTCGCGGATGTGCGTGTGTATTCTCAGAGATAAAATATGTTCAATTAAATTTCATTAATGAATAATAATAATGATAATAACAATAACTCTAATAAATAAATAGACATTTGGTGATTTTTTTTCTCAAGATCATTTGCGTGTAAATTTGATACTCTTCTAATACGTATTTACGACATCATCATCCCTCCCTTCTGTACATTTGAGAAGGACTGGCTGTTAATTAAATTGATTAATTAAATTAAATTCATTAAATTAAATTAATTTGATTTACTTTAATTATAGTATAATGATCCTTTTCAAAGATTGAAAATGAATATTGAGAATGGTTGATAAAACTCAATTTGAATGGTATAATAATAGTTAATTAAATTATCTCAAAAACTTCCCGCGTAGAAAAATTTTCTTTTTCAAAGATTGTCCAGAAATATTGGGAATAATCTTTGAAAGATTATGTGGGAGATCTGCTTGGTGCCCCAAAAAGATTCTTCAGAAGACAAAATTTTAAGGGTCAAAATTTTCAAAGTCCAAAATTCAGGGCTTAGTAATTTGAGCGTCAAAAAAGTAAGGATTTAAGGAGTAAGGATCGAAAATTAAAATTGTCTCTTGAAGATTTTGTCTTCTGAAGAATCTTTTTGGGTCACCAAGCAGATCTTCTACATAATCTTTCGAAGATTCTTCCCAAGATTTCTAGAAGACCTTCTAAAGACAAAAATTTTTCTACACGGGTTATTAAAATTAATTTCAGGTGGACCGGATCTGAATCTAATCATTTTCGCTTCAATTGACCCCGTTCAAATGCCGATCAAAGACATCAAATCCGAATTTGATCAAATTGGGGTCAGGCAGCCGACTTTAGGGTGAGATCGTGCCTACCTGATCAGAACTTGATCTGAATCATCCTGCAGTTTTTCGGGTCCGATCTACTGGATCAAAACTTGGTCAGGTTCTCATCAGGCATCATCTGATCATGTCTACCTGATCAGAACTTGATCTGAACCCACCTGTAGTTTTTCGGATCCGATCTGCTGGATCAGAACTTGGTCAGGTTCTCATCAGCCATCATCTGATCATGTCTACCTGATCAGAACTTGATCCGAATCCGCCTGTAGTTTTTCGGATCCGATCTGCTAGATCAGAACTTGGTCAGCTTCTCATCAGGAATCACCAGATCAGTCGAACCTTACAAAAACCTGATCAAGTTCTGATCATGCTTCAGGTGGGCCTGAAGCAATTTCCACTCGGGTGATTTCTCTGCCTAACTTCAAACGCTCCTTTCTGTAATTTCAGATTCTTTGGTTTTTTAAATTCCAGCTGCCAGCCAATACGATTAGTACGAACCGTTCCACAAGCGTAAATTTTTCTATCCAGCCATAGCTCCATCAAACGCAAGGAGGTGAAAAAATTATCAAAATAGACGTGGTGATAAACGTCAGTATAGGCCTCAGTCAATTGCAATACTACTTGCTCTCCCAACAGTAGATTCTTATCCACCATCTCTTTTTTCCCCAGATATGGTTTCATATTTAATATGTAACCAGTTATTTAATATGTACCCATGGATTACGTTGATCACGCATATACTGTCTTGTGGAAAATTTTCCTTTGTATTTGCACATTGCGTCGTCTACTGAGAAGGAACACTCTGGATGACGTAAGACACTACGAAATTGCTCGGCCAAATCGAGAGCCGGTCGAGCTTTGTATAAAATGTCATAATGGGTCGAATTGCGCTCTGGCATTTTTTTATTGTCAGCTAAGTGCAAATACCGATTGATTAAAGAAAACCGCTTATATGTCATCGATTTCTGAGATTCGTTTCTTCAACCAGTAATTTGTAAAACTCATTGTCAACGAATAATTCGAAGAATGCTTTCTCGTTGCTGCTTGGCGGTAGAATGTGCACTGGTCCAGGATGTCCCTCAAAACTCTCTATTGCACAACTTTTCAACTGTTTCGACCAGTCCTCAGAATTTTGTACGGTGTGTTGCAGTGTTGATTCGTCTTCATTATCTGAGAGTTCAAATTCGTCTTCGTCAAATGAATCATCAGTGCGGTCACTATCATAAGCATGATTATCAATATTTTTTTTCTTATTTTTATTTGAGGGAGCACGTTTTTTTTTACGGTTCTCGCTGAACGTTTTTTCGGCGAAGGACGCTTTACTTTACACGGAGACTTGTTTTTCTTTGACACTATTTTTGGACTTTTAAATGTAGATTTTTTCGTTAAGGTGAGACTTTTTCGAGTATTTGGACGTTGAGACATTTCTCGTGTTCTCAACTTTTCGTTATTATCAGCGTTTATTTTTACCTAGCGTTTTTTGCACACACCATAAACAAAAAATACTCTACACACTACACATAACACCCCGAAGTTCACAGCCTATCAATTTATTAATTCGTTCATTTTCTTTTTATTATTAATTAATTAATTCCACACGGATATTTTATTATTTCTCTTCTAAATAGTGGCTGTAGTGGTCACGGGGGGAGTGTGTGGCTCTGGCGGTCATCCAAGCTAAGCAGCGTTCAGTCTGCCCAGTACTTGGATGGGTGTCCGCTTAGGCACACCTAACCGCTTGGGACTACAGTCGCTAGGCACGAATGTAGGGAACCACTGTGCCAATTGAGTCAGTGTGACCCATGGACACAGCGGAATCGCTGCATTATCGGCCGGCTGCACGACTGAGGTTTTCCATGGTTTACCTGGCAGTCCAATCCCGAATGGAATGCAGTTGGGGATAAAGTAAGTCGGCCCATGGTAACGCAGATAGGGAAGGGAACAAAATGTAAAAACCCGAGAGGGTATACATATGGAATCAAAAAAAAAAAATTTCTTCTAAATAATGATCAATTAGTCTGGTTCGCGAATAAACCCTCTGGTCCACCATGCACACGAAGAAAAAACTGCCATTGCACCCACAGACATGTGTATACTTGTCACGAGGGAATCAATTTATTGTTTATTTTCGGAGGACACACGAACGATTCTTTATTTCTCGAATAAAAAATGACCACAATCTCACTAGTCTGTCGAATTAAATTTTCCAACTGCCCCGCGATTATCAACTGGATCAACAAGTTGATTTTAAGTGTCACACACAAAAAACAACATGGAAAAGTTCGCCAATAAACAATGAGAATAAAGAAACCCGGGGCCCCTGAACGCCGGTAGCCTAAGTATACTGCCGGTGTGCTGACCGAATACGATGCGACCCGAGCTCACTTCGTGCCGTAGAGCGATGGGATTGGCTCATCCCCACTCCGTGGGCTCTAGTACGTCCTAGTACGCTTTGACCGTGAGAGGGTTAAGGATGTTTAGCCATTTTCAGAAAATCTTATTTTTTCATGTTCAAGAAAAATTCTATAATTTGTTTGGCTGATAGCAGAACATATGAAACTTCTTTGATGTTGAGAAAACATTAATCGCAATAGTCTCGCCAGAAATAAATGAACAAATTTTTCCTTATACACAAGCTCTTACGGGATTTATGTTGAAATTTATAATTCGCCTACTATAAGACTCTAAAAATAGAAATAAAAATAGAAGGTAATGTGCAAAACTATACTGAATCGAATGGCCAGAAAAAAATGGGGTACTCGCGCAAAAAGAGGAAATATTTGAAAGATTCTCGTATAAGCGCATGTTAGCGCATGCGTTTGGTGCATTTTGTCCACTCCATTTCTAAATAATAACCGTGGGGTGGTGGATTGAAATTTTTATCAAGATAAAGGGAATACTTTCATCTCTCAGTTGAAAAAAAATCAATTTTTTTTAAATACTTGCGATTTTGGATAAATATCCTCAATGCCTGAAAAGGGGCCTGAGTTAGTCCGTTTCAAATCTGCCGTTTCTTTTGATTTCCACTGCGTTGAACAAGCCAGTGGAGACCCTAAACTAGCCTTTTCCATGCGTACCTCGGGCATGATATAGAGTATTATTTGAAATGGATTGGCTGGAAAGAACTCCAAGTCATCCCAATAACAAATGCCTCACTTGTAGAAGGGCCTCTGGTTTCCCCTAACAGACGTGCCAGATGGTCCTTTCAAATTTTTCCAATTTAGGCGCAACTTAGAAGCGCCTACAAAGATTCCGATATCGCCACCCTTTATACTTGTAAACGGGGGGGAGTTTCTCTCTCAACAAATTGTCTTGAATAAACCTTCACCCCAAATAATGTGAATCACGTCTAGAGAAACTGACACTAGCAATTTTAAATCGTTCCCCTCTGACATCCCCAACGATCATTTATTCCAAATCACCTGATGTGGGATCAGTACACCTCTATTTTTCTTCATAATTCCACCGATACCTGAGCCTTCGAGCCCACTGGGTCACGCACGTGTCAGGGCTCATAAAATTGAGTAATCCTTCAACAATACTTTCTATTTGATGAAACTGAAATCATTAAACCATAATAAATACATGCTTCCCACTTCAGATCTGTGTTTTATCGCTAGGAATTGAGCTAAAAAAAATTGTCAACGATGTAATGTGGGTCAAGAGGAGTTGAGAACACGTGGAAACGATGAGTCGTAAATTCACGAGGGGTATGAAATCCAATGCTCGTTCAGATGATTTTCAAGGATAATCGGGGGATTTTCTAAATTGGCTGTTTCATCCTCATGGCCATTTTCTTCACATCAACATATAAAACTATCATAGTGACTAAACAAGCAGCGCGACAGAAGCCATTTGATAGATTACATATGACTGCTACTCTTCACGCATTTTTTTTCTTCTATTTTCATTTCCACAAATTTCACTGGTAGTAGGCTTCCGAATGGATCCCAATGTATGTTTTCAAAAAATCAAACCATATATTCATGTTATATGGCTTTCTCAGTTATCCTGATATGAAAATGAACGGTGAAATATGGATGAGTTAATTTTTTTTTCTTAGGAATTTTGGGTGAATTGTTTCACCTCAAGAACTATCAAATATATCGACCTAAAATTTGATATGGGAATGTTCCTTGACAATCCTAACTAGAAGCCAAAGTTTTAAAAGATTTCCTTGACTTTTACCCATGTCATAAAGCGCAAAAGTGAATTCCGACCAAAAAAATACATAAACGTCGATATCTCGAAAAATTTTACGGGATATGGTATCCATATTTTGTTGTATCTAGGTAGATGACATCAAAACGCACATTTTGAAGGAAACAAATTGAAATCGGACCAATAGTTTTGGAGATATTGAGCAAAAGAGTTTCACATACAAAGTTGAATATCTCCGAAACTACTGGTCCGATTTCGTTCAACCAAAATCCCAAACTTTGTTACCATAAGATCTAAAATCATATCAAGTTTCAAGTTTCTATTTCGATTATTTTTTAAGTTATCGTGCGAACAAGCAATTTCGGCGAAAAAAATTAAGAAACGAGAATAAAACTATACTGCTCAGGGTGTAATGGTCTTTTTTCAATCCAATTGAATAGGTATCATCACGACGAGTATTTTGAAAAAAAAATCGAATCGAATGGCTCAGGAGATAATAATGATAAAAAACCATTTTTGAAGAAACGCTATATCTCAAGAACCGCTCAACGGATCGAGCTGAAATTTGGCACAAATTTGAGTCTCAGTAGTACCAATTAGCAGCCAAAATGTCAGCATCTTTGCCTCAATAATTCTCCAGTTATTGGGGACGCTTTATAACAAGACGCCCTCTATGAATGCCTGCGTTAAGGGTGCACATCTACGATACACAAGCAAATGGGGGCTTGTGTGAGCGCGTGTGTGTATACCTCTTTGACGGCCATATTGGCAAAAAACAGCGCCCTCAACGATATTTCCTGTTCCCAATGGAGACAGTTCTGGAGATACGAACACACATGTGCACATACATACAGAAATTTTTTAAAAAGCTCATTTCTTCACGTTTCATGACATTTCTTAGGCATTTCCACCCAAAATTAAGGAATCGAAAAAAATCACGATTACAAAGCTTCCATTCGGAAGTAAAAACACTTTCATTGACATAAAAGCAATAAAATATCCTATATCAAACGAAAATGTATTCAATTTTCATAACCAAATTAAAGCTAAAATTGTTTCTAGGAAAGGAAAAAATCCGTAGCTTTTTCTTTAGTCAGTGAAAGTTTGTAGATTTTATTACTAATAGGAGAAAAAATCTAGAGAATCTTTTACAAAAAGTTCTGAGCATAGTTTATATTTCCTATAGAAAAGTCTACAGATTTACCCGATATGTTACCTTCCGAAGAAATCTGTAGGAAAATTAGAATTTGCAGAGAAAAAACTCTCAATCGCTTGACTTTTATGCATTTATTAATCTTCAATTAACAAACATAATTTCTAGATTAACCATTATGAATAAATAGATTTCAAGATTATCAACGCAACCATGCAATCCAAATGTAATCATTAACCACTTAAACATCGAAATAATAATATTCCTCTCATATCATTTTATACAATCTGTTAAAAATGATTCACAATTTGACGACAAACTGACAAAAATCGATAGCCTCGATTTTTCCGTTGCCCGAGTAATAAAAAATTACAGAAACAATTGGCCCACTCATAATCATTGCAGAACACTCAAATAATTATTCTATTATTCAACTGGATGATTAAAAAAACGAGAAGCCATCACTCAGAAAACAATTTGCATACAACATTTACTAGTTTGTATACACCCTAAAGATTAATTAATTAATTTCAAATAAATCCTTTTTTCAAATGAAATAACGGTTTCTTCTACAATTTACGATGTTTTATTTATTTCTAGCTATTAAAATATTTGTATGAATTAAGGTAATATTTTCCCAAATTTGAAACCGTAAATAGAAACAAAGTTTAAGTTCAGATAAAAGTTTTAGTAGGTATAATAAACAATTTCTCTGGGTGTACCACGCGCACTTATTACTCATACTGCATATACATCGTTTTCTTTGTCATCTCCTCAAATACCCAAATCAAATTAAGAATCAAATGTCGAGGGAGGTTTAGCAAATAAAAAACACCCCTGATATCTACTCATTACGCATCCTCATCATCTGTGATTTCTTCAATCTTAGGGGTGTGGTCGATAGGTACCTCTAAGACTGGAACACTATTGAAACCCTCGTGTTCCCCATCATACGGATGACAATCGCTCAAGTCATCGTGATCTGTCGACAAACAGTTAGCTTCTTCTTCCACCTGAAACCAAGAATTGAATAGTCCTCAACAGATGGACTAGTTTAGACTAGAGATTACTTCAGTCTAGTGACTAGAGATGGGCAAAGTCCAGATAGCTTGGAGTAACCTCATAAACATGCATTAGGTACCCCATAAAGTTTATGGCCCTTCCAATTATAGGGATCCTAGTACGATGATAGAGAGGGTAGCAGTGGGGGCCGCAGAGTCAGTATAGTGGGGAGCGTTCCATGAAGAGCACCCCAAGTGGTAAATGAAGAATATAATAATCCGGTAAAAACTCCATAAAAATTATTTTGCTATTTTATGCAATTAATTGGTTATGACATGTCTTTCCATATCCACATTACACAAGAATATTCAATAGAAACATCTCGCATTCTCTCAAAAAAGTTTGATTGAATTTCTATTGAAATAGTTGAATTTTTCAATTTTATTAAAAAAAAAATCAAACATATCGTCCGTCTTCTAATTGATCTTTGTTGGTAGGAATAAGTAAATGCATATGACTTTCTGCGGTCATTTCCTCGGTACTGGAATTACTTTTTTTATATTTTATTTCAAACTACAATTTTTAAAGTAAATGAAAACGTCATGTCAAAAAGAAGAAATTTAAATTTTTTAATTCTACCGTACATTCGTCCTTTCCAGTAGTGTTACCCCCACTTTGTGCTGGGCTGAATGGACTGAGTCAAGCAGAGGGCATGGCCCTTCATGATCCGGGTCGTAAAGGCCCATCGCCCGATACAATGAGCTCTATTCATTCCATTGAAACACACTAGTTGAGGTCGGGAGCACGATTTGCTCCGAGAGCAGACTTTGCCTGGCCGTGGTCTAGTTCAGAGAAGGGCACAGAGCGCCCATCGAGTGATCGTAGTTCCCAAACGCAATTAGCTCGGTTACAATAGATTGGCCCCTTTGTACCGGGCGTAGAACTTTTATGACCCCCTTTATGGGGCCCCCTCCAACTGACTCAGCCTTATAGTAGTTTAGTCTTAGAACTCAGTAGTTTACTCTTGAATAACATGAAATTAATTTCAAAAAGAACAAAATGTCTCTTCATGCAGCTATCCCCAGTCCACTCGCTTCGTTACCCCCACTATGATCGTACTCGAACCCCTAGAAGGGATTGGAAGGGATGTAAACTTTATAGCGCTTCCTAATTGGTTTTATTGCAGTAGCTTCGAGCTACCTGGACTTTGTCCGTCCCGGGTCTAGTCTACTCTAGTCGAATTTAGATTAGTTCAGCTGACGTACATGTGTGTCCTCATCGGCATCAGGGCTGTCGGGCCTCTCCTCATGATCCTGTGACTTGGTATTGTCATGGCAACGGCATTCTTCGGAGGTGGAACGAGGTGCGCCAAAATCATCAGGTGTAGAGAGTACGATCTCCGCGAGTTTCTCCTCAATATCCTGCCTTTTACGAGCCTCTTCAGATGCCTTTTCAATAGCGTAACGCTCCTCCTCTTCCTTGGCGATGATTTCCTCAAGTTCAGCGGCAAGTCTTGATGATTAATAATTTTCATGATTAGAATCAGCAATGGATTTTTATGGCATGACAGTAAATCCTACCTCTGTTCCTCGGCAATTCTCGCGTCACGAGTCCTCTCAGCTTCAAGCCTCTCCTCTTCAGCTATTCTCTCCGCCTCCGCCTTTTCCTGCTCCTCAATTTCCCTCAGTCGCGCCGCACGCGCCTCCCGCTCCAACCTCTCGCGTTCTTCAATTTCCGCTTTCCACCTTTCCTCAGCCAATCTACATGATAACACAAGACGCACACAGATATGACGGGTATAAGAGAGGCAATCGAAGAGACCAGGTAATTGTTACCTGGCCTGTTCGGCTTGCCTCCTTTTTTCTTCCTCAGCTTGCCTTTTAAGCTCCTCGACTTGCCTTCTCAATTCTTCCTCATCGAGTTTACGTTGTAGCACTAGAAAAAAATTTTAAAAAATCACCAATGTTCCCACGGGTTTTCCATGCCTTAAGGTATGATAAGATTTTGTAGATATGTTCTGCTAGATTTTCTATAGGAAAACTCAAAAATTTTGTAAAAAAGACGTATAGAATTCTCGATAGCCATAATAACTTTATATAATTGTCTATAGAAGCTCTTCTCCTGGAACATCTCCCCAAGATATTGCCATACGCATCTCACAGAAATGGATATAAAAACGCATTAATGTGCAAAAGAAGTCCATTATGACAGTCAGGATGAGATAGCGAGATTGAAGTGGAGGTGATAAATCCAATAGATGATAGAAACATAGAGAACGTGCAACAAGTAACACTCAAGATGTGTATTGGAGAGTTTTACAAACAAAGAAAATACAGACAGACGAAAAATATATTCTGTGTTCAATAATTCTTTAGTTTGTGTTTTGAAATGTTTCAGTTTCATCGAAAAATCACTCGGACTGGGGCCCAATGGCGGTTTCAAGGAGACGAAGAAGTCCACGCTTTTTACCCTCATCGTCAGTCTCCTGTTTGTCTTCACCACTTCCCCAGTAGTCGTCAACTTCAACTTCTTCGACTTCTTCAGCTGGTGCTGGTTCAGTCTCCAAATCTGGTAGCTGCTCACCTTCGACTGCTACCTCTCCCTCTAATTCTGCAAGAACTTCTCCCTCTTTTGGCTCTGGCATTTGAATTTGTTCAGGTACTTCTTGTTGTGATTCGGGGATTTCTGATTCCTCCTGGACTTGAGGAGATTCAGATTCTATGATCACGGGTTTTTCTAGTTGTTGTTCCATTAATTCTGGTTCTACTTCTGGGTCTTCAGGAAATGCTTCTGGTATTTGAGCTCTAGGTTCTGAAAGTATCTCTTCTACCTCTACTTCTGTTTCCGGCTCTGGTTCTTTTAGAACCTGGGGTTCTGGCTCTGTTTCAACTAAAGCTTGTTGCTCTGGTTCGGATTCGGTTAGAACTTGTTGTTCTGGTTGGGATTCTGTTAGAACTTGTTGTTCTGGTTCTAGTTCTTCTCGAACTGGTTCTGATTCTGATTCTACGACCGCAAGCTCCTCTTGCACTGGTTCTGGTTCTGCTTCTGCGACGGCAATCTCATCTTGAACTGGTTCTGGTTCTGAAATTATTGGTACTTCCTCGACCGGTGCTGGCTCTGGCTCCACAATTTTGTCTGCTTTAGCAGATTTTCGTCTAGTAGTCCGCACTTTCTTTTCTTTTACGATTTCTGGCTTCTCTGCTTGAATTTCTTCAGGTTCTTTCTCAACGACTGGCTCTGGTTGCTTCTCCACAACTGGTTCTGGTGCTTTTACCTCTTGTGGCTCATAGACTGTCGCCAAGTCTGGTTTGTACACAGGTTCTGGATCTGGTGATGCTGAGCAGACAATCACAAGTTTTACTGAATGATCTGAGAAATTTTTCACTCAGGGAAGATAGCAGCAGGTTTGAAGCGTTTGATGCGTAAATTCCTAAGGATTGAAACTCTCACCTCTTCTTGGTGCTGCTGAAGCAATGAAGTCTTCTGCCAGTGCTCGAGCTAAAATTCATACTCATGATTTCTTTCATCCGTCATAGGGTTTAATTTCATTTCTTTCATATGTGGAAAAGCAGATGGAATGAAGGGACAAGTATCTCTACACTAAGAGAAAAACATTGCATACATATTTGATCAATTTATGGTAAATTTTAGATAAGAAATCAGTGCTCATCCGACTAAAGAGGAAGTTACCGAATGAAAGGATGATGTTTTTTTTCGAAATGAGATAATATTCCTTCAAAGACAAGAATAGTTTGACATAAGGAAAAGAAGATATTGTTTCCCTTTGGACTCAGCATAAAATTTCTATTCCTTCAATATGAAAGTCTCCGATTCATGATTCACTAAATGGCAGTTTTTAATATTTTCAGTCATTTTCTCATCTTCTGACACGAAAAAACCGATTTCTTGTGGCAAGAAATACTCACTTTATCATGAAATGTTTATGTTCAAGTCATGAACACTTCACCGCAATCTGACATTGTCTGACACATTATCCGAAATTTTCATCCCAAGAAATTTATCCTCAAGAGATAAAATACTTGGCGCCAGAAATTAGTTGTGTGACATTAAGACGATATCTGATTTCTGTCAGTGTATATTTCTCTCAATTGTGTTTTCCGCAAGATAATTAAATATATCCGGTCTTGATGATAAACGAACTGCCCTTGATGATTCGGCAGTAATTTTTTCAGTTGTAACTAATGATGCGGGGCATTTGCCCCATCTTTTAACAATAATTTTAGTAAAAATGTATGATTATCTGTCATATTGTAGGACAGAGATAATTCATCCCTTCATTCCGATCAATAAATTGAAACGAGGAAGGAAAATTATGATGTACTAACCCTTTCTGAGCTCCCTTTCGGTGAGCGGAGGATCGGGATCTGGGTGACACATGTAACACAAACGTTCCAGAGTAGTACCATCATCAGGATAACACCATGATAATTAAGCACAGATGCACTAAGCGTTGAATTAGTATTAACAAATCATTTGCCAGTGTTACAGCGCAAATGCACAGTGCAGAGAAAATAAAAGTACTAGGACAGTGAGTTATTAAAATGATATTAATGCCGTTTAATAGCCTTAATTACTCGCCGGTTCATTTTTGTCGCTGAAGCTGTTTTAGTTCCAGTGAACTAGAAGCTTACCTCAATATATGAAATTCAGTCGGAAAGATTTGTAACTAAATTGATATTCTGATTAATCAGTGAAAATGAGTAATTAAATGTTCATAAATTTCTTTATTGGTTCATTCGATTCAATTCCGTTTCTACATTTTTTTGATTAATTTTTATCGAGTCGTTTAGATTTGTCCAATGGGTATTTAATTACTAGTTTGTTTAGGCCATTGAGGATTTAAAAAAAAAGTCGCAAAAAATGTGATTGTTTCACTTGAAGTTTTTTAAAATCACTTTTAACACTTCGTTGGCCGCGTAAGAGCATGAATTTAGATGAAAATCCATTAAAAAAGGTCTATAGAAATTTCTGTAAATCTGAGATCTTTAAAATTTTCTATGGTTAAAAAGTTGATCGGATTTTCTGTAAAGAATGAAACGTTACAGAACGTTTCATATGACACAAAAATCTAAAGAACTTTTTAAGAATGGAATTTCATATTGCCACGGTCTCCCTTAGAACATTTTGTAAGAAAAGAATCCTATACAGTGTACTCTCCTTTATCCGCAGGCCTCGGGACTCGATCGTGACGTCATTTCATGTGAAACGCAGATAAAGGAACACTCCCACCCGTCCAGTTTACAGCAGCAATAGAAGAGGGAAAGGGTCGGGAATAGTGGGGGGAATCGTGGCAGTGGTTTACATTTGTGACCCACTGCGCTTTTCATAGTGCATGACGTCAAAGAGAAGGATGCATGATAGATATGGAGTGGTGGAAGGTTTTTGAGGGGCAACAGGCCTCGAGGGGAGTGAGTGCAGATTACGGAGTCGGCGGATAAAGGAGAGTTCACTGTATCGTTTTCTTTCAGGGACCAAAAGAGAAATTCTTATAAAAAGAGAAAAACTATAGAGAAAATTTTCCACGAAAAAAAGATCCTTATCGTTTAAAGAGATTTTCTCTGGTGGCAAAAGTTTCAATTTCTAGAATTCTCTGAAAAAAATCCACAGAAAAAATTTAAAAAAACAACGAGCATCACGGAGCATCATCGACGAAATCCCGCAAGCACTGTGATTGTAAATATTACCGATAACTATTTATTCCAGTCGAAAAATACAATTTTTAATTATTGATAAAATCATTCCTTAAAATATCTTTCGATGGGTCTTCTACCCGTCACAAAATGAGGTATCAATTTTCTCCACATTGTTTCAAAAGTCTAAAACAATGTTATTCGGAAAGTTGTAAAAATTATGGCGTGAAACTCATAGTGCGAGCAACGGAGTGTTAATATATTTCCCCCGAAAAAGACCGAATAGGATTCCGAGTTGAGATTACGTTCTTTTGGTGTTGGGGGCGAGATGATATGTCGGGGATAGTCCGGAGGGTTACGAGGGTTTTGATAACCTGCGGAGTAATCTTTACACGAGACGTTAAATTGGGAGTGATACCGATTTTTTTTCGTTATTTTTCGGGGTTTTGGATCAGGTATAAAACGAATGATTTTATTCCTCCTCGAGCTCGGGCAGGCCATCCTCCTCGTCCTGCGTCGGTTGTTTTTTCTTTTTACTCGGGTCCTCATTAAGCTCAGGTACGCGATCCCTCCATCCAGGGCCTGAAACGTTCAACATATCGGCTGCTGTTCCTTCTGCGTATTTTCATCAATTCCCAGTTTTTTGTGGGCGCGTCATTCGGCGCCTTCGCATACTGATCATGACTTAGTGTTATGTTTTTTTTCGCTTATGATTTTTTTTCTTTGGATTTTTAGCGCTCCCGAGGTAGACATAATTATGAATAAAACTCGGGGGCTTTAAACTTGAATTTTTATCCCGATTTTCGTTCTTTCCATTCAATTTTTACTGCCACTTGAATATTCCCGGTTTTTTGTTTCATTTAGAGATCATTAGACACATGTAAAATAATTGAAAAAAAAACAGTGACGATGAGTGTAAATGAATTTTAGTAAAATATCATTAACAATTGATATAACTAGAGACGATATTCTTGTCAAACCTTCAACTTTGGCTCTATATTTCCGATAGATTTCGAAATATTGAGCGAAAACAGAATTGCAGACGAAAAGTTTTGAAATTTGTCGGATGAGAATTCCCGGGTACAATAATTTCTGTCTTTGGAAGATCTTCCAAGAAAATTCGGCAGAACTCTTCAAAAGATTATCTTGAAGAGCTTTCTGGTGACACCAAAAGATTCTTCAGAAGAAAATATCTTCCGAAGACAATGCTGAAAGATCTTTGAAAGACAACTTTTTTTTCTACCAAATCCAGAAAAAATGTTGGAAGATCTTCGGAAGACAACTTTTTTTTCTAGGAAATTTTCCAGAATAAAAGTTAACACATCTTCAGAATTAAGACGACTTTTTTATGTCTTCACAAGATTGTCTAGTAATTTTTTTCTCTGTCAAAAATTGACAAGATGTAGAAGGATATTCCCAAAGGCAACGAGTTGAATCTATAGGAGGAGGATTCATTCTTGTGTGTAAGCATTCGCAAATGGAATTATTCCAGTTATCAATTGAAGATCAGGGGAGTAGTCGCAACCTCAACGTTTGGATCGTGTGTTTCTCTCTTGACCCTTCATTATTGATCCACATCCATCTTCATATACTGACGGTTCTTTTATCAGTAGGATTCAAGTTGGGCCATCAATCTTGGATTCACACATATCTGGGTTATGGCTCATTCAACGCAAGGAAAATGAACTCGAGTGGAAATTCCGGTCAGGTCTTGATCAAGTTTGGATCAGGTTAGACCTGCCACTGATCAGGTATTGATCAAGTTGACGGATCCGGTCTTGATCAGACATGTTACGCCTCTGACCAATCCGGATTTGATCAGGACGAATGGATCCGAACTTGATCAAGTCAACTGTATGAAAACCGGATGACCTGTATGTCAGTATCAATAACAATTATCAATGATAATTAATCCAAAACAAAAGATAATTCAATTCTTTCACCGTAGACCGCCTCTCTTAATGAATCTCTACTGTTATTACCTATGAAAAAGCTTATTATTTTTTTACCGATGCTGGGGATCGAACCGGGGACCCTATGATTACTAATCCTATGCCCTAACCACTATGCTATCGTGCTATTTCTATTGAGTTAACTGTACATTGCCTATATGATTTATATCGGGGTATTCGTTGAATTTACGATTATTCCTGATTTCGCGGATGTGCGTGTGTATTCTCAGAGATTAAATATGTTCAATTAAATTCTTATTTATTTCATTAATGATAATTACAATAACACTAATAAATAAATAGCCATCTGGTGATTTTTTTCTCAAGATCATTTGCGTGTAAGTTTGATATTCCTCTAATACGTATTTACGGCATCATCATCCCTCCCTTCTGTACATTTGAGAAGGGCTGGCTGTTAATTAAATTGATTAATTAAATTAAATTCATTAAATTAAATTAATTTAATTCAATTTATTTTAATTATAGTATAATGCTCCTTTTTGAAGATTGACAATAATTATTGATAATGGTTGATAAAAATTAATTTGAATAGTATAATAATAGTTAATTAAATTATCCGAAAAACTTATTAAAATTAATGTCAGATGGAGCGGATCTGAATCTGATTATTTTCTCTTCAATTGACCCCTTTCAAATGCCGATCAGGGACATCAAATCCGAATTTGATCAAATTGGGGTCAGGCAGCCGACCTCAGAGTGAGATCGTGCCTACCTGATCAGAACTTGATCTGAATCATCGTGCAGTTTTTCGGATCCGATCTACTGGATCAAAACTTGGTCAGGTTCTTATCAGGCATCATCTGATCATCTCTACCTGATCAGAACTTGATCTGAACCCGCCTGTAGTTTTTCGGATCTGATCTACTGGATCAGAACTTGGTTAGGTTCTCATCAGGAATCACCGGATCAGTCGAACCTTACAAAAACCTGATCAAGTTCTGATCGTGCTTCAGATGGGCCTGAAGCAATTTCCACTCGGGAAGTTGAATTCTAAACTTGACATGTTCCCCAGCATCAAAATTTTCCACCTTCAAAATTCTCCATCTCCTTAATGTTTCTGATTCAGAATTTACTCACTTCAGAATCCGCCTACTTCAAAACCATCCACGTTAAAATACGCCCACTTCACAACCGGCATACTTCAAAATGCCCCACTTTGACATTCCCACTTTAAAATTACTCACTTCAAATTTCCCCACTTCGAGTTTTTGCAGTTGGGATGTTCCACTTCACGATTTTCATTTTAAAATCTGAAGTAGGGCAGTTTTGAAGTGCAGAAAATCGAAGCGGGGAATTTTTTGAAGTGGAAAAGGTTGTAGTGGGGAATTTTGAAGTGGGTAAAATTCCGAATTTAAAAAATAATTGCGCGGAAGTATTTTGAAGATGGAAAATTTTGACGCTGGGAATTTTCAAGGTGAAAATCTTTCAAGCTAGAAAATTTTGATGCTGGGGACTTCGAGAGATCAAATTGGTAATTCAACTTCATTTTCCTTGCGTTGAATGAACCATAACCCAGATACATGTGAATTTGAGATTGATGGCCCAACTTGAATCCCACTGGTGAAAAAAACCGTCAGTATGTGAAGATAGATGTGGATCAATAATGAAGGGTCAAGAGAGAGACACAAAATCCAAACGTGGAGGTTGAGACTACTACTCTAATCTTGAATTAATCGCCGGAATAATTCCAGTTGCGAATGATTACACACAAGAATGAATTCTCCTCCTATAGATTCAAGTCGTTGCCATTGGGAACATCCTTCTGCATCTGGTCTATTTTTGACAGAAAAAAATGAGTCTTCCGACGACCTGCCAACGTTTATTCTGGAAAATTTCCTGGAAAAAAATAGTTGGCTTTCGAGGATGTTTCAGTATTGTCTCGAGAAGATTTTCTCTTCTGAAGAATCTTTTGGGGTCACCAGAAAGCTCTTTGAGATAATCTATTGAAGATTTCTGCCGAAGTTTTTTGGAAGATCTTCCAAAGACAGAAATTTTTCTACCCAGGATAAGTCTTCTAAAATTCACTTATCACACCAGGAAGACAAAAAAAATAGAAAATAAAGTAGAACACACGGGTTGCATACATCATAGCACAACATAAATAAAAACAGAATTCTCAGACAGGAACGTAGAGACAATAAGATAAAAAAACACGATGTCAAGAAACGGACAAAAAAATTCAAAATAAATCGAGACAATGCATCACACACGTCGGCGTCGTGAGGCCGCGGTTTGTACAATTTATGATCTTTTTTTTCAGTATTTTTATCTCAATAATGGTGATTCAGTAGTGGAGTGGAAACTTGTAATTTATGGGTAGAATTTCAAAATTTTCTAAATAATTTCGGTAACGAGTGGTTTCAGGAGAAAATGTGATAAGAACTTTCCACTAATAATATATTTCGTAACGAGCTAAAAAACATTTTTTCACGGGTTACGAACAATATTTTTCATCACAATGTGGCGGAAATTGGACTTTTAGGCACGCGGAGCGTGCCGAAAAGTTCACTTTTCGTCACAGCGTGATGAAAAAGTATATTTTAACATAACAAATTCAAAACAAAAATTGAACAAAAATTCAATTCCAACTCCACTACTAAATTCCAACGGCTATCAACTGAAATGAAAATGTAAATGGCTATGAGGTCTCAATGATTCCTCTAATTGTTCTAATCAACGTCTGAAAATCATAACTAAACTACAAAAGAAATTGATTGGTCCCGTCGAATCGTCAGAATGTATCGTCGCGTCGTCAGTTCTGTTGTACTCACAGGCACTGGCAGCCGCCTGCCGATTCTTAGCGTAATAACTCAGCAGATTAACATCACTCTGCACATCCGCTGCGCGCAAATCCGCTACTTTGTAGTAGGGTCTTCTTCTTGAGTGTGGTTTTCCTCCAGTGTAACTAACAGCGGCAAGATGACCGGTGCCGAATTCACGATGAGCTGGTGAATCATACCAATTTGGCGATTCATCCTCTTTTTTGGCACTGTTGCGTCCTTGTAGGAGACGCCTTATGTAGTCGTTGCTGCGCATACGTTCTGGGACTATGACTTCTGCAAAATCACTGCAATCATCACAAAAATATTGCATAAATATCAATTTGTGAATGCAGAAAATGATAAAGAAATATATTGTTGTCATAAGAAACCCAGTTGAAAAGTGTACAGACAGCTGAGCTGTGTGAAAAGGACCTACTTAATTAGGCCCATTCGACACTGGCCATATCAGAAATTTCAAAGGGTAATTAGAGCTGCGGGACACCCCAAAAGAAGCGCTTCTATAAATTGACTGATCGACCACTCACGTTCTAATGCGTAATTCTTCTTTTGAACAATGAACTGTGATCACGGAATGTCAAGTAAATAATTTGCAATCAATTTTAGGCATTGCGACTCTATTATCAATAATTTAATTATTCTAGTGCCCAAACTATGAAAGATATACTAAAATTTTTGCATCACGAATCATTTAGAATTTGATGAAGAATAATTTTTGTTTTTTGTCAATTTGACATATCTTCTTCAGATTTCGAGATATGAACAAGGAAAGAATTGCGTGACGCAACACAGCCCTCTCAAACCCACCGCGCGCTGCAAGTAGAGAGCGCTATTTCGGCGGGTCACGTAACCGAAGAGGGAAATTGCAAAGAGAGATCGATCATTATCAATCAGTATCAATCAAATTAAAAAATCTATTTTTGAATGTCTTTTCGAAATTTTTCAAATTGTTTTTTTCTTCTTAAAAAATGAACGGATTTCGTTCACAGAAACAGGAAATACGGAAAATGTAGGGAGGGAAAATCAGAAATAAAATTTAAAAATAGATTTTTCAATCGTGAAAATTTTAAAATGTTTTTTTTTTAATACTGAAGGGAAATCAATGTATTGTCTTTCTATTATCTACTTTTGATGGAAGAAAGTGAAACGAGAAAAAGAAACGAGATCAACACGAAAACAGAATTTTTAATTTTTCAATGACTAGGGAAAATTTTAAAATTCATATTCATTTTAGCGAATAATTAACCAATATCCACAAATTTAATTCCTATCCACACATTTTCATAGAATACACAAAGAATTCGAATCGTCGATGGAAAATTTTATCGGATAATTATTATGTAATGGCACTCTATAACAATGTCCTATGGAATATCTCTATACAATGTTTTCATACATGGTAGGCAACGCGTGATGGTCATCAGCGAGGTAGAATAAATTAAATAATTAATGACGATATCAATTACCTTGATAATGGTCTCGGTACAAAAACGTGGATTTTTCGCAGAAGCGAATCCGCCCTAGCGCGAATTTCTCGCGCTTCATCGTCGAACAGCTGTGAAAATACATAAAAATTATATTCAAGAACATCTCTAACTCGTTGTCATCAATTATGATAAACTATAATCATCTAATGATCGACAAAGTGACGCAATTTCCGCTCGCGATAAAGTCTGTTCAACAATATACAATTAATAAAGTAAATCATGTATTAATTCTCTATTCCTAACTCCGATATTTCGCTGACGTAATTGAGCTTTCAATGGTAACTTACGATGTTGTCTCTGGAGTTGAGGTACCTCGACACGTACGAAACACTGGAGGGTCTCGGCAAATCCCGTATCCTCTGTAGTTCAGCAGCAATAACACTCGGTCTGACTCGGGAGTAAATTCTAATCGGCACTGGCACTTGACGAGTGTAGTGAATAACTGGATAAGGTGTATGGATCACATGGACCAGCCTCTTGTGACCAATGTAGGGGATTGTGTGGGGCAGATGGTTGAGTGCCTAGTTTATCACATTTTTAATGACAATTGTTCCTCGATAAGCAATAGCACCGAGAGATCACAGCACATCACAATTTATTTTATTAAATTTTCATATCAATCTGTTGTACTAATACTTTTTTCTCAATCGAATCATCATTAAAACCTGTGTGTACTATCGTGCAACAATTTCCAGTGGACAATGCCAAATTATCATTGATTTATTAATTATAAAGGTTTACATTACCCTACAACAAATTTCGCCCTCAATTTGTTCACCAAATGTTCATTATCTTAGGACTATCGAATTTATTGATTTGAGCCAGTGATTCCGCGAGACGAGACGAGACGAGAAGATACAATTATAAGGGATTTTCTCGTCTCGTATCGAAATGCAAGAGCAATTTCTTCTCTCGTCTCGACGAGAATTAAGAGATTTTTTCGCGTCACGTCCCGTTTCTCTCGCGTCTCATATCATCACTAATTTAAGCGTTAATAAAAAAATTCACTCGGTGAAATAGTATTTCCCTGAATATTAACATTCATTTTTGTTATAGTCGAGAAATATATTTGGGTCATCATTTGACACTTGGTATTTGATGGATACATGATCTCTATTAGTGCCTAATGATTCGTGTGCAATAATTTTTTAAATATTGAGAGTTGTGATGTTATTTGGGATATTCCAAAATATCTGGGTTGAACTACTCCCTATCGTTTTTGGTAAAGAATATATCATAATGTGATTCACTGGTTCTTAGGTGTTGAAGTCCATTATGTTCTATATTTTCATTTTCATCGCGTTTCATCAACTTGTAATTAATCAAAGATATTCAGTGACGATTGATTCTCTCAGTGCTGATAATTAGCCATTGTTAGTCCTCCAAGCGTGGGTTCCATTTCAATTGATTTGAATAATCTTGCTAGAGTTGCTGGAGTCACCCAAAAGCGAAGGAAGCTGAGTCGCCTTCGAAGTTTGTCATGTAAAGAGGATGGGCGATTCCCTTTGCCGATGAATTGAGAATTTGTTAGGACACTCTTGGATGTACGTTCGACTGTGAAACATTCGTTTGAGAGGGACTTTGGAGATGCTGAGTGGAGCATTCCGGTGAGATACTTGAAGGTTAATCGAGATTGCTCTCCTTTCGGGTTGATTAGGCTTCAATGATGATGATCATGATGATGAGGGCGATGCGAGCGGAAAAGCGTCAAATTTTTTACATTTATGAAAGTGAAAAAAAGTCAAATCATCATTCGTTTCATGGTTTTGAATAATTCTCATTCGAACAAATTTTTTATATCTCGTTAAATTTCGAATTATCTCAATAACCTGTGATTTTAATGGAAAATGTCACGAGACATTTGTTATCGCAAATCATAACAAAATTTCGAATTCTACCAGAAAAGACTTTTGGGATTTTCCCTTATAATTACTTGGTTGTTGGATTGAGATTAAATGCGATTGATGGGACTTTGTCTCACTAGCAGATAATTATGCAATAATAGTCTTAAATAAAAAAAAAGTAATGGCTTAAAAGCTGACCTGCGTTTGCTGGATTGGTGTAATCGGTCGGATGATGCCCCCAGGATTCTGTTGTTTATTCATTGAATTCCCATATTTATGATGGAGTTACCAAGTTGTTAATTCAAGTTGAACCCACCCACTCACCAAAAATAAAAGAGAAGGGCAACGAAGGCGACAGGGCAAATTAAGCGCAGCGTATATAGAGAAAATAAAGCATATATTATGTTAGCATCTCATCATTTCCCATCTTTGTCTTAAAGTAATATGGTCATAACACTATCCTGAAGAATGAGTGAAAATTTATCTTTCCTACGAAAAATTACATCAACGTGAACATCCCAGCGCATCTCTATCTCAAATGACCGTTTAGTGTCATTGATAATAACTATTTGAAATGTGGAAGGTGAGTTTTCGATGGATGAGATTACAGGGAAAGACTAGAAAAATTACGATAAAAATTCAAAAAAGAACTGTCATGTATGAACTAAATATGACCATGCTACGTATTCCCATTTACCATTTTAGTTAATTCTGCAATAAAATGTAACTCGTGTACTCCGAAGTGTCACACGTTCTCACGATTGATATTAATATTAATGACAACTAAATAAATCTATAAAACAAGTGTCTCCTCCATTTTTCGAGTAGATAAATGATGATGTCCTCCTCGACATGAGCATAGACCGTCGTGATTTGTTCATATTCTGGACACGTGCAACCTGCCTATCTCAAGGCTTTTAACGTGAATTTTCCTGGTGATTTTGATTTATTCTTTCATCACTTCCTTCATCATTTGGCCAGTTGAACGCGGGGGATTAATTGATCAGTGATGACAGGTTGGATCGATTTACTCAATTCCATGATTTATGGTATGATACCACGTGCTATTAACGACAATCGTGCAGACTGCTAATTCAAGAGTGAAGTGGGAATTCGAAAGAGTCGATTTTCCGGATCATTATAAATGTGGAATTATTCCAATAACAAGTGGTTTTATGAGAAAATATCATATATAATACTTTTTTTCATTAATTTCTCTAGCCAAACACTGTTAAAAATTTTCGTCTGGATTTTCCGTGCCTAATTCCACGAAGTTTTATCGTGTTCAAGTTCCATTGAAATTTCAGGAAATCTTGTCATTGAAAAATCAAAAATTCCATTGATTGTCTGTTCAAATGATCTGAAATTCAATAAAATACTTGATTTTTCAGTTTAATTATTCGGTGAAAATTCAGAAAAATCACCAAAATTCAGGGAAAAATTGGAAATTGATGTAATTTTGTTTCTGAATATTCATGTTCCACTGAAAATTCAATCAAGTTGTCAAATTTCCATTTCACTCCCACTGAAAACTCATGGATTTCCGTGAATTCTACTTAAAACTTGAAATTTCATAACCATTTTTTCCCTAAATCCGATTCAATATCACTCTCATGAGATTTACTATAACATCTTTCATAAAATTTCAAAAAATTTCTAACAGTGTGCAGTCTTAAGACATTTTCTCCTGAAATCATCAGTTTCTGCAATATTTCATGTCTCACAGAAACCGAATTCTCATTTTTTATGTTTGGAAATCCCACTTCACTCCCAATTCTACATGACGTTTATAGGATCCATTGCACCAAGCCCTAGTAAGAAAATCATTAGTTAAATATCAAAATAAATCCGATCTGCCGCTTTATCTTGATCGGAAATTTATCGGAGATGTTTCACCACAAAACACGGTATATCGATGTATTATCACTATTTGCCAGTAATACCGCTAATTGTGAGGTATTTAGTCGACATTTACGGCCGAATGTAAAAGAAAATCATCCAACTGTGGAATAAAATTATTCGTGACAAATTTATTCTGCGGGTTGATTTAGTAAACAGGGCTTAGTACAACCGGCCTATTATATGCTACAGAATAATCTACAGAATAATGATCCTCGAATGTGGGTAAAACGTTCATTTATTAAGTCACAGATATATACGAGCAGTTAGCATTTTATATTATTGACAATGATGATAAATTCCTTTAATATGGAAACTGACTAGATAATCACTCTAACACAGAGAAAATAAAATGTTCGATTGAAACGATCATTTTAAAAATCACGTGTAAGACGTTTATGAATTTTTCATACGTCAATATGTACGTGAATCCTCGGGATACAAGAACGTGTTCCATAAAAAATTGTCGAGCTTATCGAATCCTTTTTTCTTGGACCATTTCTCCCCATATTCCGAGCCATTTCCCAACAAAATCACTTGGACAAGAAAGCTCTATCAATTTTCTCTGTGCCATTACCAAAATAAACACAATTCAAGAAGAACTGACATATCTAATCGCAATAGACAATTAATGAAACTTAATATTCCAAAATATAAAGCAGAGTTTCACAACAAAAACGAGCGTAAAGTTCTAATGAAAAATATCATTGTCAACCTGGAGAGACAGAAGGTGGAAAAAAATTCCATAGCGACTCTATAAAATATATGGAAAATCCTATAGCGATCCTGTAGAATATGACCCCTAGTTTTTCCATAAAATTTCTGAAATCTCGGTTCTATAAAGTACCTATGTCTTTTATAAAATCTTTCATCGGAAATATAAATTAGAAAGAAGAACTAGAAAGAATTAGAAAGAAGAACTGGGAACTGGATGCTCTGCGTTCTATACATTTTGTAGAAAACTATTGGTTCCGTAACAATATTTTCATGATCCTAATGATCCGGAGTACGTCGAAAAAACTACGTTAAAAAAACCTGGTTAAATTCAACTTAGGAAAGTGAACTTTTGGTTAGTTAAACTTTTGTCAAATTGAACTTCCGTCAATAAAACCTTTCGGTTATTTTGTCTTTTGTAAAATCTGTGTTTGTGGTCGGAATTTCAGAGTGCTGTTTGTTTGTGCATATGAATTTATGTCAAATCATTTGGAATCAAGACTTGATGCTGTTTATTCTGGATACAATGTTTTGAATTGTGATTCGTTCGGTTTTATTATATTTTTGCACCCGAATGTGAGCTTTATCAACGTTCAAATTTAAGTTTCAAAATTTTGGTTTCAGGGTAACTAAATATGGTCCCAAAAGTCTGGATGTGCGATTTTTAGAAAGTGTCTGTATGTATGTATGCATGCATATATGTATGTATGTGTGTGGACTTTTTTACCATTTTTTTTCGCAATTCTCTTTATGCGTTAACAGTTTGAAAGTTTTTTTCAACTTTTTTAAAGTTCAGGTTGTTCAAAGTTTTTTTAACGGATGTTTTTTAGACATGAACCCGAACGATCATGCTTGCAGAATTTCCCATAGGATTCATATATTTTCTATAGAGCGTTCTATAGAAAGTTTAACATGTACAGATCATAGAACTACATTTTATCCACTCTAAGATTTTGTAACAAAAACTCAATAGCAGCCGTCTGTAATTTGTAGGTTTAACGTGACATGAGGTCGTTCAGGAATTGGCCTACCATAACATTTCAATAATAAGGGCTGATTTTTTTTGCACATAGAAATCTATCATCAAGCTTTTGATTCTGTCTCATCAGGCTCTTAAGGACAATCTTAATTTCTAACATGTATTTTTTCTGTATCGATAGGGGATGTAATTCCCTTTTTAAACGCGATAAGAGTAGTGACGGTAGGTTGTGCCCCCAGGGAGACGTCCAGAGGTGTGGCTATCGTAGGATGAGTGATAACCACCGGGACCCCCCGTTGAACGCGTGGACCTTTCAGTCGAGTATGTACCATAGGGACCAGTCTCGCGCTTATAAGTGGACTGCTCCGTACGTGTCTGTGGTCTACCACGTGGATCGGACGATGATGAGGTGTTGGTGTAACTGTAGCTGTACTGCTCCTGCGCTGATCTCACTCCAACGTCGGGATAGTCACGGACGACGTAATGCCGGGGTGTCTAGATACGGGGGAGACAAGGATAACAATTGGAGAACCTTTTGTCCTTTTTAGGGTGCGCTTGAGTTTTTTGCACGGATACTGTTTTTTTAGCTCTTGTGATCGGCACTGAGGCACAGGCGGGGCTGTTGTGTCTTCAGGGTTTCTTGAGGATTATAGGCAAGAAGGAAATTGGTAAATTGAAGATATTTCTCGGAAAATTTGATAAGTTGAATTTCATAGTTTCGCTAATCGTGGATTAACCCTAGTCTGGTCCCCTCCGCGGGGATTCCCCGCCGTGTTATTTAGGCTCCAGCGTTGCCGAATTCACTCTATAGTGCCCGGACGTGTTTAGCGAGTTTCCGGCAACGTCGCGTCATGACTAATTTCGATTAACATGGGAAAACATAATTCATCTGTTCAAAATCATTTGTTTTCTTTGGTAATTTTGGATAATATGTTGTTCTTAAAAATATTATAATTCTTTAGACACTTCAATTGATAAAGTCAAATTTTTTTGAATTTTTACGGTTAGTCAGTCAATTGTCATTAAAGAAAAACGATGCAGGGCGGGGCTTCCCTCGTATGGTGACCCACCTAGGGTTAATCTCGGAAGCTAAAGGTTCGAGCGGGAAAGATCTAATGGAGATTCCTTGCATTGAATGGAATTTGCAATAAAAAATGTATTTCTCTCCAAGTAGGAAAAGTCGATTCTTTATGTGGACTGTAAAAATAACAAAATCAATTCTTATTAGAGAGGCATGATCTTGGTAACAGAGAATTAAACTTCCAACAAAAAATGATTATCTCACAGAGATAATTCCAATTTGAATAAATGCGAAAAATCTGCTTTTACGTGAAACGTAAAAGTGGAAAATTTCGTCTTCCTAAACATTAAATGTTCTCATAAAATTTTCCCTACATCGTTTAGATTTCGAAATGTTCATAAAAAACTCGTCAAAAACTCAATTCAACTCATCTTGTCCTTTTCCACTTCATTCCTAAAATGCGAGAAAGATATTCAATCCGTGTAATTTTCTTCTTCTCCAAATGCAGAAGCAGAGAGAGTGTCTAATATCGATTATGTTATACCCCCCCCCCTTCCCTCCCCCCAAGACCAAAATATCCTATTCATTCATTCCAAATAAAATTCCCTTCACATATTTCACCTTTATATTCTG